TATATATATATATATACACACACATTGCATTTAAAGTATTTAAGTCACTCAATACACGCGTTTTTGAATTTTTGCAGTGTCAGAAAATATCTTTCTGGTATTTGAAGTATTTAAACCACTTAATATATACGTTGTTGAATCTTTGCAATATCACAAAACATCTTCTCTTTTTTTGTATCTAAAATGTTGGGGAAAAAACTATACACACGTTGTTCAATCTTTGCAGAATCAGAAAATATCTATTTTGTATTTAAAAGTATTTAAACTACTCAATACACACGTTGTTGAATCTGTACAATGTTGTAAAACATCTTTTCTCTCATTTTTTAGCTTGTTTAAGCCGATTTAAAAGAAAAAAACTTTTTTGTATCCATACAGTATCGAAAAACATTTTCTTTTTTTTTTCTCGAAAGCGTTTTAAAGGATCAAAAATACACTTTTATTTTCTGCTACCACACCGTACACTTTCATGCCCCTTCGTCCTACCTAATTTGGAACTTAAATTGATTTTAATGCAATGTTCCATTTTTAATTTATCGTGTGTTACTGTGATTGACCGTAAATTGATGGTCGTTGACTTCACCGGTCAACGATGACAATAATGTCCGAAATGTATACTTGGTCTAGTATGCCCAGTATGCCCAACATCGCTTTTATAAGGTTCAGTGCCACTGCCATAGAGGCATTTAACTGGTACTCCGAACACTGATGTTTCTCCTAATCTATCATCAGCAGATAAAATTTCGAATAAATATAATAATATCAACGAATAAATTAATATCAAATCGGATAAAACTAATATTTCGGACATTCACCAAAGCGATTATGTGATTGCTGACATTCACCAGTGAAAGTCGACATTCTCTTGATTTCAGTTTGTGAATTCGTGATTTAGACTGTCGTGATTTAGACTAGTTGCCAATCGCATCTGCGTGATCTCCCATCGCATCTGCGTGAATGCAACTTCATAACACAGTTATGAAGTTATCATCAATGCTGTTATTCAACTATGGATCCATTCACCGAACTTTTCGAACGCACCTTGTAGTTCAAACATGTCCAGTGTTACAACTGAAAGTTCAACTAACTCCATGCTGGTCGTACAAAGAAAATTTTTAAATATAATCTATCTTTTATTTGTTTGAGACAAAATCACAATAAATATTGTTTTGTAATAAAATAGTTTTAAACAATAATATTTTTTTATTGAAATAAAGGAAATAATGGAAAAAAGAATCTCCTATAAAGGAAAGCATTTGACAGGACACACACCAAACATGGGAACGTTACTCTTAAAAAGTAACAATTAAAAATACAAGTACTTTAACACTAGAAAGACTGAAATACCTATATTGCCCATAAGCAGTCAAAGTGACTGAATTGTGAAAGAATAACTAATGTATAAAGAAATTTTTTC